GGAAGAGGAAGGGTAGTAGAGGTCTTCAACAGGCACAAAGTCACAGTCAGGAGGAATGCGTTCTGGTGTTCTGTTGCATTCTAGAGTCACTAAAGCTAATCAGAATGTAATTTTTTTAAAATCTAGAATATTTTGGATAATCTCAGCACAAGAAATGATATATGTTTAAGGTGATGCATGTGTCAATTACCCTAAAATGATCATTACACATTATTGACAATAGGTGTCAATAAGTAATATAAAAAGTATCATTTTTTAAAAGAAAATAAAAATATTGGTGAGGATGGGAATGGAAAATGGTCAAGCCAGTGTGGAAAACAGTTTGTCAGTTCCTCAGAAAGCTAAACATAGAATTGTCACATCACACAGCAACTCCACCCCATCTGTGTGCACCCCAAAGAATAGAAAACTGGGTCTCAAATAGATGCTTGTACACCAATGTTCATAGCACATATTTAGTGCTGAGTTGCTGAGGCTGGCTTTATACTTGCAATCCTCCTGCCTCAGCCTCCTGAGCCACTTGGACAAAGACAAATTTATATGTTCTTAACTGAAAAAGAAAAATGAAAGGCAAATAAATACACAGCAATCAAGGAAACTGAAATTAATTTTGTTTTAAAGAGCTAAAATTTCAAGCCTTAGTTTAGGAAAAATCTACCAAATTGTTTATATTCAACAGTTGTTAGACCAGGAGTGAAATGGATATTCCTATATGGTAGGTACTAGAGTAAACTTACATAGACATTTTATTCTGCAATTTGGTACCAGTTATGAAAATTTAATCTGGATATACCTAAGGCCCAGCAATCACACCTCTTTTAATCTATGTCACATTAAACAATCCCATGTTCACAGAAAGCTATTTATAAGATTTACTGCAGTATATTTGCAAGAGTGAAAAATTTCACTACATACAAGCAACCATCAATAAAGAATAGCAAAATGAATAGGGTATATAGTTATAAACTTTAAAAACAGGATACACCTGTGCATGATATAGCTCTTATACAGATATTGAAAAGATCTCCACTATTGCCCCCCTACTATAGGGCATAAATGCATTCTACTGTCATGTATAACTAATAAAACAAATAAAAAATTAATTTAAAAAACCTCTAATGCACGAAGTTCAATGGGAAAGGCAAGTTGAAATATAATCCATATGGTATTATCAAGTTAATACTTACAGTATAATATTGTATCTTTTTATAAGTGCAAGGTGAAGAGCCTGAGTTTAGGAGCAATGATTTTAAACATAACAACACCCATTAGTAAGATTAGATTTTTTTCAATAGTATATATATAATTATTAATATTATTTCATTGTTACAAGAGTTGGCTTAGGGCTTATAAGGGAGAACATACATCATATTCATAATAGATGAGACTTCTGCCTAGCAAACTCAAATTGGGCCAGGAAGCAATACAGAATTTGGTGTAACCTGGGGATGGGGACATTCAAACTTACAGCGTATGGATTTGTCATTATATTCCCCACGGCACACTTGTAACTTAACAATAAGACTGCAAAGAATAAGATGTCTACAGGTATTTGAAAGAATAGTTTAATTTTTTCACAGCAATTACCCATTTTTCTTTCAATGTGATTATGCATCATAAATGCAGAAAACACAATACTGAAATTTGTAACAAACAATAGTAGTATGGGGACCAGGTGGCTCTGCAGGACCTGCCTTCTCAGACTTTCCAGGTGTGAGTGTTGGGAATGCCAAGTCTTGTCTCTGGTTGGGGACATGGTGCTTTTGGTGGAAAGGAAACAGTAAGACACAAACTTACACAGATGCACCTTGTCCCTGCCCCAGAGGAGAGTCACGTGTTGGTCTGTTTGACTTCTCCTGTCCCATCTACTGAAGCCCTGAGTTTTTATTTAATCATGAGCCTTGTTTTCATGTAAGTTACACAAGTAAGTCTAGGAATAGGTAATAAATAGATAAGTCTATTCATTCTAAACCAAGGTCCTTATGGGGCAAAAATACCAAGAGAATGATCCTTTATGCTTGAGACTTCTAATACACAGTGTCCCACCTTCCTGTCTTAAAAGATGGGAGTCACGCCCAAGGAGATCTTCAGCACGATTATTACCCATACTAAGCAAATATTTGGAAACAAACCTCTGAGTCTTGAGAAATTCACCAGGGAACTGATCGGAGGAAGAAAGCATCCAGACCGTGATTTCCTCTCTGTGGTCAACATCGTCACGAGTCATATTTAAACAGGAAGCATTCTTAACTCCAACCAGAACCAAAAGTCCTCGGTCACTGGGCTGGCTGGTCTCAGCACCATGAGGAGGAGATGTCTAAGACTGGTTCAAGGTAAGTGGAATCATGACATGTGACAGGCAAGAAAGGGAGCTAGGAGCCACCAGCAAGTCTTTTCCTTCATTTTTGACTGGTTTTCTCACTGTCCATGCAAGGGAGAGGAGGGAGGGTATTTTTAAAAGATATCAGATATTTTTTAAAAAAATAAGTTCTCAAAGGAGAAATTTATTCCTAGAAAGTTACTCTTAGTGAAAACTTTGGGACTTAGCAGGGATTTGTCATTATATTCCCCATGTGCAGCAGGGTTCTCCAGATAAATAAGACCAATAGGGCACTATACAGAAAGAGGGAAGGATGTTTGTTTTAAGGATATGCTCATGCAATTGTACAGGATGAGAAGTGCAGACTCCACTGGGTATGTGGCAGGAGGAGACCAGGGAAGAGGTCATAGAATGGAGACTAGGAAAGAGGCACAGAATCCAGACTAGAAAGAGTTGGCAAAATGGAGAACAAGAAAAGGGGTTGAATTATGGAGACCCAGGGAAGAGGTGGAAGGTTAGAGACCCAAAATGAGATGACCAGATGGACCAGGAAAGAGATGGCAGGATGGAAACCCTAGGAAGAGGTGGCAAGATGGAGACCTAGAGAAGAGGTGGTAGGATGGAGATCAGGGAAGAGGTGACAAAAATACAGACCAGAGAAAAGGTGGCAGGATGGAAAGAAGAAAAGAGATGGCAGGATGAAGATCTAAGGAACAGGGGTCAGGATGGAGACACGGGGAAGAGGTGGCAAATTGGAGACCCAGAGAAGAGGTGGCAGGATGGAGACCAGGGAAGAGGTGGCAAAATAGAGGCCCAGAGAAGAGACAGACATGAGGAAGAGGCAGCAGAATGGAGACCCAGGGCAAATGTGAAAGAATCCAGGGAAGAGGTGGAAGAATGGAGACCCAAGAAAGAGGTGGTAGGATCCAGACCAACGACGAGGTGACAAGATGGAGACAGGGAAGAAGCGGCAGGATGGAGACCCAGAGAAGAGGAACCGGTGGCAGAATGAAGTCCCAGAGAAGAGGTAACAGATGGAAAACAGGGAAGAGGTGTAGGATGGAGAAAGAGACCCAGGGAAGATATGGCAAGATGAAGACTCAAGGAAGAAGCGTCAAGATGGAGACCAGGAAAGAGCTGTTAGACCAGGGAAGAGGTGGCAGGATGGGGACCAGGGAGGAGGTGGCAGGATGGAGACCAGGGAGGAGGTGGCAGGATGGAGACCAGGGAGGAGGTGGCAGGATAAGGATCCAGAAAGAGGTGGCAGGTGCCAGACCAGGGAAGAGAGGACAGGATGCTGACCCAGGGAAAATATGACAGGATCCAGACCAGGTAAAATCTAATAGGATCCAGACCAGGTAAGAGTTGCCAGGGTGGAGACCAAAAAAGAGGTGACAGTAGATAGACCAGGAAAGAGGTGGCAGGATAAGGGCCCAGGGAAGAGGTGGCAGAATGGAGACCCAGATGAAAAAGCAGCATGATGGAGAAGCAAGGAAGACGTGGCAAGATGGAAACCAGGAAAGCACTGACAAGATCCAGACCAGGGAGGAGGTGGCAGGATGGAGACCAGGGAGGAGGTGGCAGGATGGAGACCAGGGAGGAGGTGGCAGGATGGAGACCAGGGAGGAGCTGATGTTCCATCTCAGGTCCAGAAGCAGTCTGGGCCAGAACTCTGTCCTCCTCAGGGGGCCAGTCTTGGTCTCTTAGGGCCTCCATGGGTTAGATGAGCCCACACAGGAGAGGGGATCCTGCTTTCCTTTCAGTCTTCACATTCAGTGGTGTCTCCTCTGATGAAGGCCTCACGGCAATGTTTAGAGCCTGACCAGCTGTCCAGGCAGCGCATTAGATAAACTGACCAAGAAGGAACCACCAATACCCGCAGACTTTATTTTAGGGATTGAGAACCAGACTCTCTGTGACTCCTTGCCTGTCTCTGTTGAACAGCAACAGGCTCATGTACCTAAGGCCCGGTTGACTTAAGGAGTGTCCCCAGGATGTGTCCTGGGAGGGGGCAGCTGCTGAGAGGCAGGAACAGCAGGAGGAGGCCCCCAGCCTGAGCCCAGCACCTGCCCACAGCACTTTCCTGTTGGGGGGTAATAGGGCACCACAGGGTCCCAGGACAGGCCGTGGGGCTGACAGTGGTGGTACAGATGTGGCTCTCAGGTGCTCCAACCACAGCTGCAGGCCAGGTGGCTGGTGTAGTGTGTGTCCCAGGAAGGGGACAGGGCCAGAGCACCTGAGAGACCAGGTAGGGGACCTGAGAGAACATCTGGCCCTGACCCTCCCTTCCTACCTAAAGGTCAGCGATGGTGGTAAACACCCTGACACACTGGGGTTTGTTCCCACGTGACCCTAGGACGTGGGTGTCATCTTGTCCCCATTCCACAGAAAGGGAAACTGAGGCAGGCAGTGAGGCAGCCTGCCTGTGCTCCAGGGTCTAAACCAGGGCCACCAGGCTCCAGTCCCCCACCCACAGGCCAGGAGAGCCACGGCTGGAGCCCAGAGCTTGCCAGGCTCAGCCCCCTTCCCATCCCCCAAAACCTCTGGGAGGCACCACCTGGGCTCACTCTGCAGAGTTGACCAGGTCCGAGCCCAGGAGGGTCCACAGCCCCTGCCCTCCAGTGCATCACCTCCGGCCTCCTCTGCCTGCTGGGCCGCTGACCCGCCCTCTCTGTGTCACAGGGCTGCTGTGTGTCCTGCTGAGTCTCTCCAGAGCTGGAGCCTGGGACTTTCAGCGTGAGTGTGTGGGGAGCAGCCTGTCCACAGCCAGAGCCTGGGAGGGGCCCTGCACCCACAGTCCAGGGAGGAGAGGCCTGATCAGGGAGGCTCTGGGCATCTCCCCACCTCCTGGGACCTCCTCTGGGACCACATTGGCCCCTCCCAGCCTCAGACCAGTCTGTGCCCCCACAGCCTGTGCCCCCTGGTGCCCTCTCAACTCGGAATGTGTCAACGCCACCGCCTGTCGCTGCAAGCCGGGGTTTGCCTCTTCATCTACAGAGATCTTCACTGACCCCCTGGAGATCTGTGAAGGTAAAGAGGATGGGGGAGGGGCCGAGCCACATCAGAGTTTGCAGGTGCCCACTTGCCAGTGGGGTCATGGGTAATGGTCAAGGGCTGAGCCTTTGACCTTGAGGCCATCATCAAAGACAGAAAAGAGAAAGGAAAGAGTAAGATGGCAGAGAGACCAGGGAATTGCATGGCTTCCTGCACAGAAAGGACCTGGGCCCCAGGAGTTGGTCTCAGCCTGCCCTTAGGTCTGGGGAGGGTGACACTGAGCTTATAGCCCACACTTTACCTTGGCATTGTCCCCTGGGGACAATGTCCAATTGTCCAATTGCCCCCTTTGGACAATTGTCTAAACTGGGGGTGTTAGTCAGAGGACTGTGTTGAGAGATCAGACTGTGTGGACTTCAGCAATGGCTTGGCCCAGCATAGCCTCAGCAGTGCATCCCAGGATTCTGTCCAAAAGATACTAACTCAACATCAGACCCCATGCTGGAGGGTCAGGTAGGGGACAGGAGTCTCTTTCCTAAGAGACCACACACCTTTGGGAGGTGACCCTATTATGTTGCAGACATCAGCGAATGTTTGTTGCCCCGGAAAGTGTCCTGTGGATATTTTGCTGACTGCCACAATGTGCAGGGGAGCTACTACTGCACGTGCTCCCCAGGATTTGAGCTCCTTTCTGGGGCAAAAAACGTTTAGTAATGCGAGTGAGAACACATATCAAGGTAAGGCCCACCCTGCCCCATGCAGTTCAGGGCACCAGAGCTGATCTGGGGACAACGCCCAGTTATATTCTCAGCACCTGGACTCTGAGATGGGGCAGCTGTGCGTGCACCCATCACCAGCATGAGAGGTAGGGGAGGGTCAGGGCACTCTGGGACCAGCTGCTTGGCCCCATTCTGATAGCTCTGCCTGTGACGATGGCCAGGGTGCTTATCAGGAAACCCTGTGGACATGTGAGATGTGACAACATCATTGTTGTTTTCTGTTTTAAAAAATGCCAGGCACCAGTAGCCTGTGCCTGTGATCTCAGTTATTTGGGAGGCTGAGGCAGGAGGATCAGTAGAGCCCAGGAGTCCAACCCAGCCTGGGAAACATCCCTAGGGGGGAAAAGTGGGAGAGAGAGAGAAAAAAAAGAAAAAGAAAACCACAGGAAGGAGCCCCTATCTTCTAAAGCTACAAACAAAGGTAAAGGCTGGGGTGCAGCTCCCGTGCAAAAGTGTTGCCTGGCATGAGCAGGGCCCTGGGCTCCCTCCCCAGCACTGCAGAAAAATCAAAACCAAAACCAGAGTTTGCTTTGCTCTTGGTTCACTGTGTGACTTCAGACAAGTCACCTCACCTCTCTGTGCTTCAGTGTGTCCATCTGCAGAAGGGGAGTCCTGGGACTTGGCCGAAGCTCAGTGGTAGAGCACTTGTCTAACAGATGTGAGTCCTTCAGTGAGTCCCCAGCTCCAAGGAAAGAAAGGGGGAGAGGGGAGAGTCATAAGGAGGGGAATGAGATCCAAAGGCACTGAGCAGGTCCCAGCTTCCAGAACAGGCTGTTAGCGATGGCTTCTGAGCTAAACAGGGCCTAGGCCCCACGAGCTGTGCTCACCTGCCTTTAGGTCTGGGCGGGGGGTGGGGGAGAGGAGCTTCCAGCCCACGCCTAGCTCAGCATTGTCCCCTGAGTCCAGATTCAGGGGTGTCAGCCAGAGAACTGGGACAGAGGTATCCTGTGGCACACAGGGGCCAAGGCCCTGGTTGACACAGGTGGTGCCCACTCCAGGCCACTGTCCCACCAGCACAGAGAGGGAGGGTGGTGTGAAGGCCAAATCAGAGGTAGGGATGAGCTCCCTGGGTCCAAAGCCTGGAATGGCCACCCGTGAGCAGCATGGGATCAGCAAAACCACTTCCTCTCTTGGAGCCCTCCTTGTACCTGCCCCCAGGAGCCTGGAGCCCCAGAGATCCCATGAGATGGTGGCTCTCAGTGGCTCGTTACTGGGGAACCCAGGGAGCTGGGGCGGAGGCTGAGCCCAGGATGAGGGGGAAATGTGGGAGTTGGGTGGAAGGTCCCCTGGGAGTGCTGCTGCACCTCATTCCCAGCTGTCCCCACACGACCACACCCCACCTGGTCCTCTCCACCTATGGCACACCTCTGCAGCCATTGCTACCAGCTGGGAACAAGGGAGGAGACTGTGATCGTCCCATGGGGGCTGGACAGGGGCCCTTAGGGTGCATCAGCCCCTGTCCTGGCCCGTCCTGCTGTTGATCCACACAGCCCGGATGAGGGGTCCCAACAGGGCATCCTCAGGTGCAAAACTTGGTCCAGGGAGACCAGAAGCCCTCCCTGCCTCATCCTGACCCCAGGAATCCTCTGGGCTCCGGGAATCTTTGGCCCCTTTCTGGGACACCCAGGGCCGTCTGCCATGAGCTGTCACTCACTCCTGTCTTGGGTTCTCTGAGGCTGCTGTGTTGGCCATTCACCTCAGGCCTCTGTGCTGTGGGTCCCTGTGGCACTCAAAGGGGACCTGCTTCCTGAGCATGTTCCCCTCACGTTTAGAGACCAGGAGAGATAAGAAGCCAGGAAACACCCCCAGGCCTCAGCTGGGAGCTGCTTCCAGAAGCTTCCTCATTTCTTGCCTGTGGTCATCTCTGATAAGGGAAATTTTAATAAAACCTGCATCCATAAAACTTATCATTTTAACCACGTTCCAGTATACTAGTTCTGTGGCACTGAGGGCATTCCTGTTACACAGGCATCTCAGTCATCCCTCTCCAGGAATATATTCCTGTTTTTTTTCTGTATTTATTTAATTGACAAATAAAAATATTGTACATATTGATCAGGTACAGAAGGATATTTTGAAACATGTATGCACACTGGGATGGCTAAATGGAGCTGATTAGCATATGCAATGCCTCAGGTGCTGATTTTTGTGGTAAGAACACTTCAAATCTAATCCCTTAGTGATTTTCAAGAATATAGAACATTGGCCAGACCCAGTGGTGCACACCTGGGATCCAGCAGCTCAGGAGGCTGAGACAGGAGGATCTTAAGTTCAAAGCCAGCCTCAGCAACTTAGCAAGCAAGGCCCTAAACAATTTGGTGAGACCCTGCCTCAAAATAAAAATTGAAAGGGCTGGGGATGTGGCTCAGTAGTAGAGTATACTGTCTTCAATCCCTGGTACCAAAAATAAATAAATATGAACAATAGATCTTTTGAATTTAGCTCCTCCTACCTGAAGTTTTGTGCCTTGGGTGCACATCTCTCCAACCCCCTCCTGTTGCCCTGACCCCTGGGAAACACCATGCTACCCTCTCCTTCCAGGAGTTTGACTGTACAGGTCCCATGTGGAGGTGACATCGTGTGGTATTTGTCCTTCTGTTCCTGGCTTATTTCACTTAACATAATGTCCTCCAGGTTCACCTGTGTTGTTGTCATTGACAGAGTTTCCTCCCCTTTTAAGGCTGAATAGGACCCCACTGTGGGTGGGTGTTCTAATTCATCCTGCTGTGGATGGATGGACACCTCGGTTGACTCCAGAGCGTGGCTATTGTGAATAGTGCTACAACATGAAGCATGCACGTCTCTCTACTGATAGATAAAGGTCAGATCAATATTCTGATCTGGTTTCCTTTGCGTGCAAACTGAGAAGAAGGATTTCTGGATCCCATGCAGTTCTATTTTTAATATCTGAGGACCGTCCCCACTGCCTTCCATCATAGTGGGGCTCACTTACATTCCCAGCCATGGTGGGCACATCGTTCTTTGCTCTGACTGCTGGCCAACTGTGTGCCCATCCGGCTTCCCCAACAGCCACCCAGCAGGTGTGAGGTGACGTTTCACTACAGTTCATTTCTAGTACCCTGAGGATTCTCAATGGCGGGGGATTTCTCCTGGGCCTCTGGGCCCTTCTCCTGTTGTCCTTTGAGAAGCGTCTGTTCAGGTCACTTGCCCATTTGCAGATGGGGTGAGCGGGTTTCTTACTGCTGAGTTGCTTGATCAAGCTCCTCATGATACTTTGCATATTAACACCTAATAAGATGCGTGGCTTGTGAGTGTGCCTCCCGTTCCCTGAGTTGTCCCTCACTCTGTCCACTGTTTCCTTTGCTTTTCAAAAGCTGTTAGTTGGCTATAATCCCCTTGGTCCATTTGTATTTTGCTTCCTGTGCCTTGGGTCCCGTCCAAACCATCACTGACAGGCCACCATCACGCAGCTCTCCCCTGTGCTGTCCGCTAAGCAGCTGGGCAGCTCCAATCTGACCTTCACTATTTAATCTGAGGTGATTTTGTGTGGTGTGAGGGGAGGGTCTGATGTCCTTCTGGTTGGCATGTCCAGACTTTTACTGAAGAGTCCTTCCCATTGTGCGCTCTTGACACCTTCATCAACAATCAGCTGGAAATACGTGGGTTTCACTGGGCTGTCTGTTCTGCTCCGTGGCTGTGTGTGTCCCCATACAGAACCACACTGTGTTGTCACTACAGTTTCCCAGCAGATTCTGAGGTCAAGTCATGGGATGTGCCCAGCTTTGCTCTGTTTCTGAGCACCTGGCTTTATCCTCAGGTGTTAATTTGAGTGTCATTCTGGGAAGCCCTTGGCCATGATCTCCCATGCCCCACTGCTTAGGCATCAAGAGTGGCCATCACTGCCACCTTCTCCCTGAGCGTAGACCACCTGTAGGACCCCAGTGGTGCAAAGATTCCTAGAGGGGAGGGTCCAGGGAATGGCTGGGCCTCCCTCTGCCACTCCAGGATGGAGAGGAGATGTAGATCCCTTGCCAGGCCCCACCGTGGCACAGAATCTGAACCCACATGTCTTTGGGCTCTGCTCCAGAGAGCAGAGTGGTCCTGGGACTTCCAGAGCAGCCCGGCTCAGGAGGTCCACCTGGGGTCTTAGGTCTGTGTGTGTCTCACAGCAGGGTCAGCCTGAGCACCAGGGCCTATTCCCTGAGAGAAAGGACAACATTGGGAGGTGAGCCTTTGACCTGTCATGTTGCAGACATCACCAAATGAGGGCCATGAGAGTGCCCCGTGGGAAATCTGCAGACAGCCAGGTCATGGAGGGCACAATTGCTGCACGCACAGCCCAGGCTGTGTGCCCATTTCTGGAGCCAAGAATCCTTTATTAATGAGAGGAGAACAGCTGCAAGGTAGGCCCTTCCCCCACCACCCCATCATCAGGGTTGAGGTTGCCAGACCCTTTCCTGTGACATCTAGATGGCAGAACCCTGGTTACAGGAGTGTTGCCCTGGTGTGAGGCAGGTGTGCATGTACCTGTCACCCAGCACAGTAGCAGGGTAGCATGAATGCCAGGGGCCAGCTCTGCATTGGCTGCCTGGGTCTAAAAACTGCCTGTGCCACCTGTTAGCTGCATGTTATTAGTCAAGTCACTACCTCTCTTTGAACTTGGTCTACCCATCTGTATCATGAAGGCGATCATAACAGTGCCTACCTCCTGTGTCTTCCAGGAGGATTATGAAAATTACAAGTGCCTGCAATAGAGCCTGGCACATGGTGGGTGCTGGACTCATCTTATGTGTTTAAAAGATGAGCACATCTGCACCCATTTAAGGAGCTTCCCAGAGGGTTTGGGTCTTCCTGGAGGCCATGTCCCTGCCATTCAGAAGAAAGCTAGTTCCACACAACTTGCTCTGGACCTTGCCATGGTCGGGCCTGACAACGTGATTCCCAGGATGAGTAACTTTCACGCATGAGCAGGATTTGCATCCTTCCAGGGCAAGGTGGTTAGGCAAAGAAATCTGCTTCCACCATCCATGGGGCCAGGTGGAATCCAGCAGTGGGTGGGAAGGAGCCAGGACCCATCCCGGGAGATGCTAGCGCCAAGTACACAGAGGGAAAAGGGAAGGTGCATGAATGTAGGAGGTACACAGGGCTAAACAGGGGATCAAGGGGACTCTGAGGACACAAGGTCCCTATGGGTGCACATTGTGCCATGTGTATATACCTTGGCCAAAGGATCCTGGGGGCTGTATGGAAAGACCAGGGTCCTGGGAAAGGAATTGGTGTTCTGACCGGAGGCTCCTGAGGGACCTGGGAAGCAGCAAAAAAATAACTGGGGTGACATGTTTCTGCAGCCTCACAACCTGCATCAGTACAGAGAAGGCATGGGTTGCATCAGGCCCCTCACACACTTCTTGTCACACATGCAAGGGTGTAGGTCGCTAGGTGGCAGCACCGCAGCCCAGGCAGGGCACTAATGGGGGAAAAGGGGGTGGAGCTCAGATGGCAGAGAGCACTGGTCCTGGCTTCAGTGGGAACCAACCCCTCTCTCTATGTCCCCAGATGTGGACGAGTGCAGCTCCGGGCAGCATAAGTGCCACCACTCCACCACCTGCACCAACACCTGGGGGTGGTACTGGTGCTACTGCCTCCCAGGCTGGGAGCCAATTCCTGGGAGCATCAATGGCATGTACAACAACATCTGCAAAGGTACCCGGCCCGCCCTGACCCCAGAACCTCCTCCACCCCACACATGAGCACACATGCCCATACACACATGCTCTTCCTAATGCAGAACTATCCTGTCCCTGCAGTCAAGCCCTTCTTCACCTGGTCTCTGCCCCCTGGAGTCCACAGCCAGGTGAGCCACCCGAGCCAGGACACAGAGTTGGGAATTCCTGGGGCAGAACCCTGTCCACCCTTTGGCCCTGAGCATCCCACCCACCTGTGACCCACTCATCTCACCTCCCCAGAGTCTCTCCCGCTTCATTGACAGAGTCAACAATCTGCAAAAGAATTTAAAGTCAGCCATGGCCAAGGACACCATCCAGGTAAGGGCAGGATCCAGGGGAAGCTATTGGAGACCTCCCATAGAGGGAGAGGAGTAGCTTTGGTCTAGGGGGAGGGGAATAGGCCCAGGCACAGTGGGGTACTGCTCTGACCTGGCCACTCTCCCAGGACATGTGGAAGAGTACACTGGGAGCCACACACACTGTTGGACGCCCACGTGCACTGTCTATCCTCTTGCTCTCATCCTGGTCTTTGGGTTTTGTCATCCTTGACAGTCACAAACCAGGGCTGACCTCTGAGGAGCAAGGACCACCCAGGGAGTCCCAAACCATGCTCTCTCTATCCCCAACTGGACAGTGTCTGGGTCTGTTCTCTGGGGCTTAGTGGTCAAGCTTTTCGTGTGGTCCTTCTGGCCCAAGTCCATCTGCTCTGTGCCCCCATCCCTCCAGGGGATCATGCAGGAGGTGGATGAGCTGCTGGAGACCCCTGGGGACCTGGAGAACCTGCCCCCCTCACAGAAGCACTGCATGGCCACTCACCTGCTGACAGGCCTGGAGAGTGCCCTGAGACACCTGAGCAGGGGTCTGCCTGAGGGGACAGCAACCTTCAATTATTCTGCAGGCACACGTAAGTCCCTGGGTCTGCACCAGCCCCTGTTCCTAGCCTCATCCTCTTCTGATCCCACTAGAGCTGAGTGGCCACACTGTACCTCAGCGTGACTCACATAAATAATCACAACAGTGAAAAAGGCATAAAACCAAAAATAGTACACATGTAGGTAGCAAAATAGAAACAGATTCAGACAACAAATGTGGAAGTATGCAAATGAATCTTTTTTTAAGTATGCTTTGTTTCATTGTGGTAAAATTCACATAACATAAAATTCACCATTTAATTTCACCACTCATCATTCATCAAAAAATAAATATGTAAATAAAATCCACCAGTTATACATTTCAGTGGAATCAAGAACCTTCACAAACTGATGCAGCCATTACCTTCATTACTAAGACATTTTTCTCTAAAATTAAACACAGTCCCTTCTCAGCTTTCATCCCTCATTCCTCCCCTCCCCCAAACCTGGCATCCACTCACCTGCTTGTTGTCTTAAAGGAGCTGCCTACTCCATATTTAGTGTAAAGCAAAGTAGTACCTGTCCATCTAGCTTCTTTCACCTAGAATAATGCTGTTGAACATGGCATAGCATCACTCCATTCCTCTTCACAGTTGAGTATTATTCCATCCTATATGTGTTGAGTTGACCCACTCAGCCACTGATGAACATTTGGGTTGGTCCCACCTTTTGGCTGTTGTAAATAGTGCTGCAAAGATATTGATATATAAGTGTTTGTTGGAATAACTATTTGCAATTCTTGGAGTATCTACCGTAGAGTAGACTTGCTAGGTACCATGGTAATTCTGGGTTCAATTTTGGGGGGAACCAGAAGACTGTTTGCAAAGTGGCTGTATTACTGTATATTATACCAGAGGGGTGCAAAGCCTTGGAAAAAAAGTGTTACTTCTGATTAATTTGGTTTTATCACGTCCATTATAGTGCATGGGAGGAGATGTCTCATTGCCTCTTTGAGTTGCATCTCCCTGTTGACTGCTGATGGTTAGCATTTTTCATGTGCTTCTGGGCCATTTGTGTATCTTTTTGGAGAAATGTCTGTTGAGATCCTTTGTGCATTTGTGATAGGGTTGGTCCTTTGGTTCTTGAGTTGTAAGAGCTTTTCATCTACTTTGACAAGAGACCATTATGAGATGTGCAACTTGGAAATGCTTTCTCAATCCTATGGATTATCTTTTCACATCTGTGATAATTGTTTCACTTTAAAGTCAGATGTTTTGAATTTTGAGGACGTCTACTTTATCTACTTTCTCCTTCATTGCTGTACATTCAGTGTCATATATAAAAATCCATTGCCAAATCCAAGGTCTTCTTATGGGCTTCAGTTCTGAGATTGAGGCCTTTGTTCTATTTTGAGTTAATCTGTGTGTGTGTGTGTGAGGTAGGGTCGCTCTTCCTTCTTTTTTCCTGGATATCCAGTAATTCCTCATCAATCATTGAAGAGACTGTTCTTATGCCATTGAATAATCTTGGTCCCCAGGCTGAAAACCAATTGACCACAGAGGTGTAGGTTTATTTCTGGGCTCACCTTTCCCTCTGTCTTCATGCCAGTACCACTCTGCTTTGGGCTCTGCTCATTTGCTGTCAGTTCTGAAATCAGGAAGTGTGAGTCCTCCACCTTTGTTGCTCTTTCCAGCCATGCTTTAACTACTTGGAACTCTTGCAATGCTGTGTTAATTTTAAGGTGAGTTTTCAATTTAAGCAAATTATAATGTTAATCAGCTGTTGGGACATGGATAGGGATGACATTGACCCTGTAGATCTCTTTGGAGAGTGTCTCCATCTTACCAATATAATGTTTCCCAATCCATGAACATAAGGTGTCTTTCCCTTCATTTAGGGTCTCCTTTCAAAACCCTCTATAGTTCTCTAAGTACAAGTCCTGAGTTTCTTAGTTAAATTGATTCCTAATATTTTGTTACAGATTGTGTTCATAAGCAATAAAGTCTCTTATTTTCTTTCCTTGTGATGTATTTATCTGCTTTGTGCATCAGAGTAATATTGGCCTCCAGGAATCACCAGGTGGTGTCCCCTCTTATGTTATTTGAAAGAGTTTAAAAAGAATTCATGTTCATTCTTCCCTAAATGGTGGGTGAATTTCACAATCAAAACCATCTGATTTCAGATGCTTCAATCCCTTTACCCGTGATAGGTCTCTTCAGATTTTCTACTTCTTCTTGAGTCATTTTTAGTAGTTTCTGCATCCCTAAGAATTTGTCCATTTCATGTAAGTTTTCTTATTTGTTGGTGCAAAGTTGCTCCTACTGTTAAAATGATTCATAACTTCAGATTTCATATACAAATGTGTATGCACTCATGTACATACACTATATATATATATATATATATATATATATATATATATACACACACACATATATGAAATCTGAGGTTACAAAATATTATAAACATATATTTGTGTCTTTTATACACTTGAATATATGTGTGATTATAGTAAATGGGAAGATCAACAAATACATGTATATCATGAGACATATGTGTACATATACAATATTCACGTATACACATATATATTCCTAACATAACTCTTCTTATTCCTACACCTCATAGAACTGTCCATAAAGGTGCAGAAGCGAGGAGATGGCAATGTCACCTTGAGTCTGAACCAGGCAAACATGCAGCTGAACTGGAATCTGGCACAGAAATCTGCTCACAGAGGTAACATCTGAGATGGGGAAAAGGTGGGATATCCATCTTCACACAAGTACCATACTGTTTGGAAGAGGCCTCAGGGTGGGAAAGATGCCCAAGGATGTGAAAAAATACAGAATTAAAGACTAAAGGGTGATGTGGGTGGGAAGAGGTCACTAGAAGAGCGTCCAAAGGGGAGGTTCTGGGGAGTGATGAGGCCACATTCTGTTGTGTGCACATGTGAATGTGGAGCAGCAAGTCCCACTATTATGTATCATTATAATACAACAATTCAAAAGGAGGAGAGGCCATCTAAGGAGGAGGCCCTAGAGGAGACCCTGAGACTCACCCATGGCCTCGTCCTGCAGGCCCTTCTGTGGTGGGCTTGGTCTCCACCCCAGGGATGGACAAGCTGCTGGCTGAGGCTCCCCTGGTCCTGGAGCCTGAGAAGCACGTGGCTCTCCATGGGACACCCAAGGACTCGCTGCTGAGGGTCTCACATGTCCTGCTCTCGGATGTCATCTCAGCCTTTTTGAGAAGCAAAAACACCCAGAACCTCAGATCTCCAGTTACCTTCACCTTCTCCCATCCTGTGAGTGGGAGGTGGGGGACCATGATGTGGGAAGATCCACAGGCCCAGGCACACCCTTGTTATCCGTCTTAAACTTGAAATTCAGTGAGTTTCCCCACAAGTGCCCCCCCATCCAGGAAACTCAACCCTTCCCAAGCCAGCTCTAAGGGGTCAGAATCTCCAAGCAAAAAAAGACCAGCTCACACCTCTGTGCTGTTCCTACAGCTGGTGTCCTCTGAGCCAAAGCGTGAAGTGCTCTGTGTCTTTTGGGACCATGGCCAGAATGGATGTGGTCACTGGGCCACTGCAGGCTGCAAGACATTGGGCACCAGAGACGGCAGCACCACCTGCCACTGTACCCGCCTCAGCAGCCATGCAATCCTCATGGCCAGCTACGATGTGCAGGTGAGAGTCTGCCTTCATCATCTATTCCTGCAAAACAGTTTTATGCAAATGTCGCTGCTTAAGTGAAACAAATTTGTTACCTCACATTTCTGAGGGACAGCAACCCAGCACAGGGGGAGATAGGTTCCTTGCACAGGGTCTTACAAGGCTGAAATAATTGCATTGGCCAGGGCTGCAGTCTCACCTGGGACTCATTGCCCTCCTCCCAACTCCCTGGTTACAGGCAGAATACAGTTCCCTTCTCTTAGCAGCTTTCAGCAGGGGAAAACACACCTTTCCTAAGAACCACCCACATTTCTTCCCATATGATGCTGTAGGCCTTCTTCACCAGGCCTCTGCCCCTTGAAGTCAACAGCCAGGTGAGCGCCCCAGTAAAGTCAGGGAGGTGGGAATCCTACCATGGCCGGTATCCACCCCTTAGCCCTCAGCTTCCCATCCACACATGACCCCACATCTCACCTCCCCAGAGTCTCTCCCATTTCTTTGACAAAGGCAACAATCTGCACAGGGATTTCAAGCCAATTGAGGCCAAGGACACTATCCAGGTAAGGGCAGGATCCAGAGGAAGCAGGGGAGACCTCCCATAGAAGGAGAGGAGCAGCTGTGGTCTGAGGGAAGGGGGACAGGCCCAAGCACAGTGGGGTCCTGCTCTGAGCTGGCCACTCTCCCAGGGCAGGTGGAAGAGGACACTGGGAGCCACACATACTTTTGGATGCCCAAGAACACTGTCTGTCCTCTTGCTCTCATCCTGGTCTTAGGGTATGGATGTCTGTGGGGTCATTATTTTCTCTATCACACCAATTACATAGGTTGGCTTTCTCTCTCATGGAGCCATCAAAATCTGCCTCATGTTCTAGATAATTGAATAGATTCACCACCCCCTCCCTCCTCCACAGCCCCTAGGAATGATATACACATTGAGGAAAAGAAACATCAACTTTTTGTCTGGAAAATAGGAAGCCATCAGATGGGGAAATTCAGGTGTTTCTACCATCTTGGGCACTGGACTGCTGTGTTGGTTCCCTGATGTCATTTTATCTTCCAGTGTCTCCTTAAACTGGGTATCTCCAGGGTTTGAGTTGTTGGAGTATCTTCCTCTCATTTTGGAATCCCTTCCTTGGCTCATTTAATAAAAACAAAACATTTGTCTTGTAATCAGTTCTGAATAATTTTCTGAAGCACAGCATTCATAAGGCTCGAGTGAGGTTGCCCCTGTAAAACAGTAGAAGTGTGCTGAGCTTCCACAGATGCAGGAATAAATAACTCCCTGGGGACGGGGAAGATATGGAAAGAGAGAATTCAACACTCCTTCCTTTAATAGTAGGTGATGGGCAATAGATAACAATGGCAGCCTTTCCTTAATGTTCTTCCTGCTCTCAGACAGAAGCCAACACACACCCTAGAGTGGGGAGATCAGATCCATCTTTTTTTTTTTTTGGCAGAGAGGTACCAGGGATTGAACTCAGGGGCACTCAACCACTGACCCACATCCCAACCCTACACTGTATTTTATTTAGAGACAGGGTCTACTGAGTTGCTTAGCGCCTCACGGTTGCTGAGAATGACTTTGAGCTCATGATCCTCCAGCTTCAGCCTCTCAAGCTGCTGGGATTACAGACATGGACCACTATACCTAGTTCAGATCCATCTTTTGAAAGATACATTTTTTGTGTGTATTTGCAGCACATTTACCTGCTCTTATCTTCTGTAACTTAAGGGTTAGGAAATGTAGGAAGATGAGACTTCTGAGAAAGACCAAAATCAGCAAAAGTAAATCCAATGTAGTTTGTTGATCAAGCCCTAAGAAATCCATCAGGCAAGACAATTTTGTGATTGATATCTTCCTTTGAAATTTGTGTGTGTGTGTGTGTGTGTGTGTGTGTGCGAGAGAGAGAGAGAGAGAGAGAGAGAGAGAGAGAGAGAGAGATTAAACCCCATAAACATATATGATTATTATTTGCTGACTAAACATTTCAAAAACTAGGGAGCAGGATGCTGACTAAGATCTGCCAGTGGTCATACCCCAGGCACAACAGGTTTAAGAGATATAATTTTAAAATTCCCTGTGTATATTTGAGGTGTGCCACATGAATATAGGATACATACAGAAAATAAAATGGATACTGTAATAAGGCAAATTAACTTATCCATCATCTCATATTCCTTTTTTTTAAACCAAGCAATTAAAATCTATTTATATAACAAATTTTTCTTTCCTTTTTTAAACAGAACTTATAAGTTACTTTTCTACAAACTTATAAGTCATTTTTAAATAATTACCATTCCAGACTGATTAGAAAGACTGTCTGAGCTACAGCCTCCTTCCCCATGGACAATCTGAACCGCCACTGGGTCACTTTTTAGCCATTAGGACAGGACAAAGACTCTGTGCTGTGTGTTTCAAGAAATCCATGGTGTTGGCCATGTGAAGGGATTCTTGGAGGACATGATCGAAAGAAATTCAACTCCTGGAGAACCTGAAATGTGTCCATGCCCCACCTGGTGCTGAGCAAACTTAACATCCAGATACCATCTGCAGCCCAATTCCTCAGTTTCTCTGTTAAACATTCTTCTACTGCCCCCCCACTTCCTATGAGGCCTCTTCCATGCAAAAATTCTAGAAGCAAGAAAACCAGCCTCCCAGGATGCTCACATCCACAACATTTAAAAGGATTTGAATGTGCTCTAAACTCTTTAACAAAAAAAGAAGAAGAAGAAGAAGAAGAAGAAGAAGAAGAAGAAGAAGAAGAAGAAGAAGGAGAAGAAAAGAAAACATAAAAGGTTTGTATGGAAATATTGTGGTGTCTGCAAGGAAGATGGCATGCCCTATGTGGGATTTGGAAATTTCAGGATGTGGAAGGCTCCCAAGAATGCCATCTTCCACTTAAATCTTTCATAGTGGTGAAGCCGTGGCCAAATTGCCAAGAAAATAGATCCCTGGATAATGTCATGACAGATGTGTTAGTGAAATCAGAAAGAGGAGATAAGACTGAGCAGACAGGGAGATGGGCCTGGGTCACTTCCTGGGCAGTGAGTACAAACAGCACCTGCAGATATTTGCTAAGAAACTTACAAAAAGGCTATTTTTAAGTCAGAACCTATGTGACTCTGGTCCTTGCCTCTGCAAGGAAGAAAAAAATCCCTGATTGATATTTTCACTGGACTAAAGGCTGCATGGACACTGTGTGCCATGCCCAGCAGTGGGTAGGGAGTTGACTTCCTGAAACTTCTAGATCTATATAAACCCCTACACAATAACCACACTTCAGTGTCCTACTCTGGGACCCCTCCCTCTTGAGGAGCCCTGCTTTCTATTATTCTAATAAATCCTGTTGCTTTGCTCTCACTCTTGTGTCCATAGAAGTTCATTCCTTAAATTTATGAGAGAAAGAACCCAACTCCATTCTCTGTGCTACATTAGTAATAATACTGTTATCATTCTGAAAATAATTTAAATCAGAATTTTTACCTTAAATAAAATCCATTAAATATGTTCATCCTCTTAATTTTCTAAGTAAAATGAAGATACATATTTTTCCATATGCGGAATATTTATCTCAGGGTCATGAGTTTTCGAATGAATTTCTGCTTTTGACATTTTTTAAGCCTTTAGGCAATGGAATAGATCACTTTTGCAATAGGAAATATCCAATGCTGTCTCAAGGATCATCAATGCCTCTGTTCACCACAACATCACAAAGCACTGGGTAAGAAAGAGGTTAGGAAATACACAGGCAGGTTAGGCATAAATACAATGATAGAATTGTTTCTTTGGACCTTGTTAATTATACTGTCACAGTAATCAGTGAGAAGAACATAAAACATGGAAATCTTACATCTCCCACCAAACTCATGTCTGTTTACTCCCCTGTTTGAAATGGGCCCAATGAATCAAGGGCAGTTTTGGGGGTGAGGAAAAATCATTTACTGAGCTGACAGTGGGCTAGCAGCCTAAAAGACTGCCTTAACTCAGCAGACACTTGAGCTCCTTTCAATATTCAAGTGGGGGGAAAGAAGAGGGTTAGGTTAGGAAATAACAGGTGACAAGACTTCTAGACATCTCTCCAATGGCCTGGACATCTAGACATCTCTCCAATGGGCCCACGCTGGCCACCTGTTGATCATGGAGCTCCTGTAAATCCTGAAAATGTCTTAGTTATGCTTATCTTGGTATCATCAGCCTTGAAGGGGGAAGTGAGAGATTAGGGAGGTTTCAGATAAATCATATTTGTGCTGCTAGTTTGGGAAAACATTCCTGAAAAGATGGATTCGCCTACATGCAGAGTGGAGCAGAAACAGTCTCATCAGTGGTCAGGGCAGCAAAGGGGGTGGACACGATATGGAGGCAGAGATGCTGAGGCAGTTCACAGCTGCACAGGCCCAGGAGAAGCGCTGTTGACAGAAGAGCTCAAGCCCCTAAAAGGCAGCACCAGCCACTGTTACCACACCACATGGATCACCCTCACTGACATGGTATTGAGGGGTACCACGTGAATATAGGATACATACAGTGGAAAAAACAACTGAAGAGGGCTCTGTATGCTTCAATTTCCATGAACAGGAAGTGAAAACTTATGGTGGTAGAAGTCAGAGCAGTGGTGACCTCTGGGGACAGGGCTTACAGACTGGGTTGGTGTCCAAGGGAAACTTCTGCAGAGATGAAGTATTTACTTTTTGATGGGGTAGTAGCCAGTGTAGACACACATAAAACTCATCAAGGTTCACACTAAGACTTATGAAATTTGTTGTAAATCATCCCTCAAATAAGAGTATTATAAAACATAAAAAACACAGTGAGAAGACACACAAATGAACACGATGCTGAGTCAGAGCACCATGAGAAATTCACTCCCTGTCCCTTACCCGGTGGCCTCGAGTACTCCCCTCAACTTACTGAGCCCCAGCTTCCACGTTTGATGGGGGTGAACACAGGACCCACCTCAATGCATTGCTGAGGAGACTTAAGAGATGCAGCGCCTCCGGCAGAGGCTGCAGTCTATTAATAGCAGGCTCTAAGGACAAGTGGCTGTCACAGGGTGTAGGCCTGAATGGTCACCCTTTAGGGGAAAATGGCCAGTTTATAAAAGTAATCAGAGAGCCAAGCAAAATTACTGATGGCCTTTGACTATGTGCAGAATTATGTAATCACAGAACAAGGGATAAGAATCATAGACAATTTGCTGAGAAAAGATTCCATAAAGACTGGGACTGACACTAAAAGGAAATATTAGCAAGAGTGTATAGTGGGGAGGTATGGATAAAATACATGCACAAAAAATAGTAAATATGAAGAGGAGGAGGGACAAATATTTCTGTCAAATCAGAGGAAAGTATTAAAGATAAAATGTAAATGTTGATTTGCTAAAGGAGCTCAACCTAATATCCCTCTCATTCAAGGCACTGAGAATGTCGCCTGTTGACAATTTCCAACCCTTATGCCCCTTTTGCCTCCCAGAGCTGGTGCTCACCAGGTCTGCCTGAACTCACCTAAACAGGTCTCTTGGAAGACTCCTCTCTCAGGGCTCCACAGCTCCACTCTTTGCTCCCAGGGGGACAACATACTGGGTTTGCCTAGTTCATCTCCTGCTTGTGGGAAAGAAGATGCCCAAGTTGGGTAAACCATGCCCTACCATGACCCAAATGTAGACTGACACCCCAAAGTCCTTGAGGTTCTAGAAATTCATGCCTGAATCCTGAGGGACACAGCTAAGGTCTTTCACTAATGAAAAGAATCCCAACCTCCTCACTGGGACATAAAGGAAAGGGGGATCCCTGGTCCCAAAACCAGGACCAGGCTCAGAGATATACTTGAGAATCCTGGAAGCTTTTAATCATGGAGAGAGAAAGCAGAGGACAAACATTCACCTCCATGGGGAGGCCACTGGAAGCATCATGAGGACATCCTGACCAGTCTGTCTGCCTCTGGATCTCCCAGACCTCTGTTCAATTTGTTGAACCCAGTTGCTTGGAAGCAATTCTATGGACCGTGGTTGCATTCTCCTTGCAATTTTGGATTTCCTAACTTACTACTTTCTTATATTTTTCTCTAGTAATTGCAGATAGACTTCTTTACCTTTGGGAAAATACAAAGGTGAATAGAGCAGATGAAGTCTCTGCTCATCTGTATTTGGTTTTATCAGGTCATAGACTGACAACAGAGAGATAAATGTGTTATAACACAATGCCCCAGCCATGGGAAGGGGACAAAGGACAGGAGGGTCATGACATGTGGATGGGTTTGTGGAGAACAGCTGGGGAGACCTCTGTTGGTTGGCTGAAGGCCAGAACCAGAGCCAGAGTACACCTGTGGGCTTAGTTAAAAAAAATTAACATCCAAACCTGAAGAATAACAAAGAAAAGATGCCACATGAGAGAAGTGAGGAAGAGGACTCCTCAGCCACCAGGTCTAAACCAACTGGTCAAGAAGACCTGGAAGAGGCACAGGAAAAACAAGAGGTCCTCTTTCATAAACCATGACAAGATTCTGTTGTACTTTTATGGACTCTTTTCTGAATTGTTAATTTATTCCCCTTTGTCATTTTATCTTTGGATCATTTCTATATCACTTTGAAACCATAAAGAGATCTCTATTTTTTACTTTGGATGTGTTTATTTCTGCTCCTTTCTTATTTTTCTGGGTGCCCAGGAGACAGACTGGGCTGGAATGCTGCTAGAACCAAGGGAGCGGTTTCCTCCTGTTGGTCTCTCAGGGACCCTGAGCTGATTACCTCTCCCCTCCCACCCCGTGTCCATTTCATCCCACTACTTTCCTGTCTATTGACATCTTTCTCCATATGTGTGTTTCTTTAAATGCAGGGTGTAATCTAGCAAAATGTAACAATATTTGCCCTGTGTTTATTTGTCCAGGGGAGGCTTACAAAATGAACGTTCTGGCTGCCATTTCTACATTAGGAGAAAGATAATTTGTTCTGGCCAGCTTGCATTGAGTACATTAGGAGTCTAACAGTGTGGTGTGAAGGTCAGAGGCCACAGGGGTGACAGTGTGATGTATGTGCATGTGTGCCAACCTCAAGGCAGGGCACTGGGACTCAGATAGCCAGGGTGATGGTCATAGAACATAGATCAACTCAACACTGGCTGAGAAGCACTTGTTTGTTCTTAACAATAGCAACCTATTCTTGCAACATTGATATAATATTGAATTAATGAGAACAAACATGAAAGACATAGAAAGTACTTGTAGCACGATACCATTATAAAATACTGTGCATCCTATGAAATACTTAAACTAACGGAGTTAGTTGTCTACAGGAAGTCGACAGGAATTATGGAGTGAGAAGGTAATGGGGGATGGACTAGAAAAGAATACTGTGCCAATGCAGAGAACATTTATGATGTGCATAGGATTGTACTCATGTGTTTGCATAAAAGTGTAAAAGCATGTGTGTATGCACAATATAGAAAGAAAAGCTTTAAAATAGCCTGAGATTTTATAGAACAGAGAATGGCAGCATAGATTGAATTAGTACAAGTATATGCTTTTGTCTTTAAGGCATGAGATTATGGGTTTTATTTCTGTCTTAAAAGTTTATTTAATACCCAGACATCAATTTATTCATTATGTTTTGGTTTTTGTTTTCTTTTGCAGGGCCAGGTCTCAAGCCCAAGGCCTTGTGTATGCTATGCAAGTTCTCTACAATTGAACTACAACTTTAGCCCAAATTGATACACAATACCTGTACATGTTAAC